ATAGGAGTGTCCACAAGCAAACATTCCCCGTCGAAATATTCGGTCGGGAAATCTGACACGAGAAAATATAAATGTGGTGAAAGAAGAATGAAGAGACTATGACCAAGGAAATGACTTACCTCCTACGGGTGCGTCAGCCTCTTCACTCCCGAAGTCCATGTTTGCCTCCTGCAATTTATCTAAAATAGCAAGAAGCATAGAGACGATTAGGGAATGCACGAATTTTGGATTGTTCAACTTCTTCGTGTGCATCTAAAAGATATATTGTCAATGGTGGATGTACCTGGATTCGTTGAATCGGGTCCTACATTGATAGCCTCCCTAACGTCGGCAGCTTCTGCAGGCTTTTCTACTTGGTACGGTGAGTCAGGTTCACCAGAAGATACAAAATCATGAGGCGCGGGGTCGGGACTCATCTCGCCTTCCTCGCGCTCTCCTGCATAGAATGGGAAAGCATGAGCCTAAAAATCTAAACGATCAAGAGAATGATCTATAGAGTAGATGTTACCTCTGTCGCTAGCAGGATAATCAACCTGAGAAGCTTCCTCGGCCACTATCTCTTCAATCGGCTTCACGGGGACAGTTTTATTAGCTGCTAACAACCACCTGTAGCTTAAGAAGGTGAGATTCAACTGTCACTCAGCACTCGGGAGACTAAACTTAGCACCAGTGCAGCCCGTCACGGTCCACAACCATGCACGAAGACCGTCCACCAAACCTCCATGAGTCCGAAGCTGCTGACGTGGATTCCCGACATAAAGCTGATCATAACCAAACTGGCGGGTGAATCGGCAGGGTAGATATGGCTCTATAAAACACTGATTCCCTACCCGAAAGGTCAGATAGCCCGACCTAATGTTCACTAGCCAATTAAAGCAGCCGATATCTAAATAAGTTCGATACTCCCTCGGCTTCTCCTCATTAATCAAACACTCACCATATCGGCTGGAGAACTGCGGAAAACAAGTGGAGAATGCCCAGCACTTGTGGACCTGTAACTGCCTTCTGACGTCAGGGAATCCTCGGCCCTCCCACTTGCTATTCTCAAGCAACTGTAGTAGGGGAACAGAGTGGTCTGTGGCGTTCGGTACCGACATCATATCAGAACGATGAAGGACGAACCAAGCCATCAAATAAGTATACATGAGCTCCACCTTAATGGTAGGAATCTGAGTCGGCGATTCACTTTCTTTCCACGTGAAAGCACTAGAAATCTGTCGAAGCCCTCGATGAATGTTAGCCACCATCACCGGAAGAAGCGAAAGTTCCTTTTTGTAGGCAAGTTGAACCGCTGGATAGAGCACCTCCAATGGTAAAGCGTCACCGGACTGATACGGAACCACCCATTTCTTTAATCAGATGGCGAGGTAACCAGCAAGAAGGGTCATCGGCCGAATCGGTGCGGTCGCATGCCATAAGAATGATTTAAACTTGGTCCTTGCAGGAAAGCCACCCTGAGGACTGCTAATGGTATAGGAATGAGCGTTAATCTTCTTCATCAGACTATTAACCCCTGAAGGAGTGAGTGATGCCAGCTCACAAATAGCCTCGTCAGAATTGCTCTCTAGATTTCTGAACAAATAAGACGCGAACTGCTTCAGGCTCACATTTGATTTAGTCCTCTTCGCTAAAGGCTCAGACTGTGCCAAAGCAATGTAGTAGTGACAGGTGAGATCCCATAAAGTCTCATAGCGGTCGGGCATACGGTCCTTCAGCTAACTCAGTTCATGGTTGGAAGGAAAGTACTCCTGATATAACATCTGACCTATGGGCAAACCAGAACTCTTGTGCATCTCATGGAGAGCCAAGCCCAACTCTTCGTGCCTAGTCCGAAAAGTGTTCGAATCCGGATTATAGAGCTCGCACAAAGCAAAGAAATGCTTCGCGCTGACAGGCAAGCCATACATGGAGGCACGAATAGCTGCATATAGACCACAAGCATGCAACTCCTCGCTCCATCGGTTTAAGACGTATTTCGTCATGCGAGCCCACCAAAGCTTGTCTAAAGAATGGACCCAGCCATAAAATCTATGACGCGTCGCAGGCATCTCCCGTCCTAAGTCAGCGAGGCGATTCCTCAAAGTAGAGGCAGAGGCAAGAAACTCGTTGCGTGGCGGTGCATCTAGTCCCAGTACTCCAGGACGCAATCCAATGATATGATTCCTGCTCGAACCAGGAGCTGCCTGATGAGTGATATAGCCACAGTGAATGCTCTCATGCTCCTCCGTCAAAAACTGCTTCTTAATACTCCGAAAAGTATACGAGTATAAACTGCTTCTTAATACTCCGAAAAGTATACGAGTATAAACTGCTTCTTAATACTCCGAAAAGTATACGAGTATAAACTGCTTCTTAATACTCCGAAAAGTATACGAGTATAAACTGCTTCTTAATACTCTGAAAAGTATACGAGTATAAACTGCTTCTTAATACTCCGAAAAGTATACGAGTATAAACTGCTTCTTAATACTCCGAAAAGTATACGAGTATAAACTGCTTCTTAATACTCCGAAAAGTATACGAGTATAAACTGCTTCTTAATACTCCGAAAAGTATACGAGTATAAACTGGATGAAAATACTCCGAAAAGTATACGAGTATAAACTGCTTCTTAATACTCCAATAAGGTATACGAGTATAAACTATTTCCTATTTTTGGTTGAGAAGTTTCTGGAGAATATTTTTCTAAAAATATTCTTAAGGATAACTCAACAACACTACGCCGGACAACACGTCGCAAATGAGAACTTAACGCCAACAATCGATGGTCAGTTCTATGTTGAACCAACAAACACGAGCTAAAGATCAGAAAATCAGGAATCGACTTCAAATTCGAAATTCCAACAACGGTCAGACAATAAATGCAGCACCGGAAACCTTACAAACATTCGACAAAGCACTGAATAGCCTGAAGGATCGAAGGAATCAAGAACAGAAGCTATTCCAAGGTCCCGTTACACCGACTGAAGGTTGGGACAATCATATCCAAAGTATTCCAGACTCTTCTATAAAAGAACGAGACTGAAATACTTTGAAGGGGGTATCTATAGGCGTATAAAACTGCCTATAGGTCCCTTAGAACAGCTCGGCATGATGATTCGACAAACCAACGAACCATCAGGCGACGTATCCAAGCGTGGTCGTTAAACCACAACATCGAAGCTAAGTGAGATGCGACGAAGTGGATTAACGAAGCGACGAGGTTAACGAATCGCACGCAAGCAACGGAATGCATCCATTCACGTGCGGAATCAAGCCAACGGTTCGGGGAGTCAACGAGTCATACAACCATAGAACGGATTCAAACACCGAAGCGGGTTTACTGCCATATCGGGATCCGGACTGCCAAATCAGAGTCCAGATCAAGAATAAAACTCGGATAAACTGCAAAACCGGACAACGGACACAACGGCAAACACCCGGCCAAAACCAAGCCACCCAAGGGTGGCTCGGTGGCCGAGCCACCCCAAGGTGGGTGGCTCGGTGGCCGAGCCACACTCAGATCTGGGCCCAGATCTGGGCCCAGATCCGCTTTTAGAGGCTATAAATAGAGGAGTAAGAGCTCATTTTCAGGAGGTCGGAACTTTTGGAGCCGAAACTCTGCTGGATTGAGAATTGAACTTCGAAGTTTTCAAGCTTAGAAGACTGCCTGCTAGATCTGTGCCCGGGCACAGATCTGAGTGCCTATAAATAGGAGAGGTTGGTTCATTTGTCAGAGGTTGGAAATTTTGACGGCGGAGCTCTGCTGAATTGAGATCTGAGCCTTGGAGATTTGAAGCTTCGAAGACTTACTCTTTCAGATCCGGTGCTCGGCGATCGTCCACGTCAGAAAAGGCAGGAGTTCGAGAGGGATCGGATCTGAGATCCATACGGTATTACTCCGGATCAAAGCTTGGCCTTTGATCCCGAGAGGACGATTATTTCCTTGGTGAATTAATCCCTCTGGCTATTATTTCCTTTGCGAGATAATACCCGTTATACCGCTTAGATCTAACCGGATCTAGATCACGCGGTGGTCCACGGATAAACACCGGCGCAGGCGAAGAACCCACAGAAGCGAGTGACCGCAAAACAGGAGCTCGTGATTTGTTCGACAGATAAGGAAAGAGTTGTAATTTTCTTTTTTCTTTTGATCTCGTTGTAACCGGATCTTATAAAAAGATCGTATCTTTGTAACCGATTAACTGTTATCAAAGAGTGTGCAATGGAATCAATGAAGAACACAATTTTTCCCGCGAACAGTGAGTGCATAGATGAATCGATGCAGCCTATAGATTGGTCACCTCTCCCCGTAGAAGAACCCCTGGCATCAAACAGACATAAACAAAAGGATAGTTTAAAAAACCAATGTAGTATCTATACTCATACAAATGAAGGGTTAATCTAAATTTGCACATGTATTGAATAAAAAAAACCAATGTAGTATCTATACTCATACAAATGAAGGGTTAATCTAAATTTGCACATGTATTGAATAAAAGGAAAATGTTTCAAATGTGATAGTTTGCACATGTATTGAATAAAAGGAAAATGTTTCAAATGTGATAGGGAAGAACTTGCATTCAGACATTTACTATTAATGTATATACAATGGTCATATTACGATTGTTGAGTGAATGTTTAAGAAAATTGATAAGAAGCGTACAAGTTGGAATAGAAGACCTCCTTGAGATTTTGAGGTCTTGATTTTAGTTATTTATGTTCTAAACAAAACACTTCATAGGCAGGCAAATCAGAGCCAAACAAGTTTCCTCCATAAAAACTATGAAGTCTTAGAGGACCATCAGATAACCTAAAATAATGCAGTATCTCTGTTCTTAAGAAATTTGCGCAGTGTAAATTCATTTCTATTAATATAAACTGCAAAGCATACAATTGCACCTGAACAATAGTGTAACTTACTACATATGGTCAAGTAGATGAAGTAAATATGCTGCACAATGAAATCATAATAATAATGAAGAAAAAAGTTCTCAGATGACATTATCTGATAAACATACCATTTTCACAGAGATGGAAGTTACCAAACCCACAAAAAACTTCTCCATACAACTTGCCTGTCCAAGACATAATAGGGCGAGGATATGGCTGAACCTTTGGAACATCAACCTTATTACAAATAAGAGCAGCAAAAATCGTCCTATCATCAACAATCACGGTTCCTCCTCCAGTGAACCTCTTAATAACAGGAATGCTATCATGAAGCACATGTTTAAGTTCAACAAGTTCTGAAAGCTTCCTGATGAAGCACAGGTTTAAGTTCAACAATTTCATGGGTATATTTAATTTGATTTCAAATAATAATTTAAAAAACTTTTATGCAACAAATGATGCAAATTCAATAGCTTTTAAAGGCTAACCAAACACTGAATTTGCATTTCAAAATACATATTATACAAGAAATACGCAGATATCCAAACGACAGATTTGAGCATATTTCCCCATAACAAATGCTACATGCAATATTTTTCTGCGTGCAATATTAATTGTATTTATATTGCACGTGGAAATGCATAATAGCATGAACCATGTTGTTAAAGTCCCTTAGTTTTTTGGTGTGGAATGATTTGTTGGAATTTTTAATTTCAGTTCGTTGGAAAGAAAGGAGGAGAAGGGTGGAGGGTTCTCTGCACAGGAGGCATTTTCTTGGTAAATTCCTATTGTAAAATTTCTGCTTCTTGGTTGTTTATTCTATGTTAGGTTGCTATTCTTACAAGAACCATCTCACGTGCATTTGTTTTCCCTATGGTGCTGGTTTTCGAATATTTGATCATATCATTATACAATTTATTTGTTTTGCATATTGAAAAAGTCACATTAGACCCCTAACAATTTTTTGTTTTGTTTTTTCACCTTCTTTGGTTGCTATTTTGTAAATTCAAATTTGTAGCAAATGACAAGCAGAAATTCTGGCAACGTAAAGAATAACATGCACACATGCACACTCATATTATGTTAAGGTAAAGAGCTTTTTCTCTTCATCTTAATTACTTAATTTGGTATTTGAGAATTGTTTGCTTAAGAATATTAGTAGAATGCAACAAGGTGGTTTCAAACATGTTGAGCTAGTTTTTGAAGATGAAGGACCTGGTGTAGGGGAATGAAGTTTTTGTGTGAACACGTATTTGTAAGTACAAAGCCCTTAAAATAGTTTGAGAAACTAAACATGATAGATCAATTCTGTTTAAGGTTTCAATATGCTTCCTCGCAAACAGAGACATAATTTTTCATTTTAAGAATGTAGAATCTCTATTCTTTAGCTGAATTAAGAAGCATTGCAATTATGAAATAAGAAATCCATATATAGGAAAACATTCAAATATGACTGGGATCAGACATGTACTGCCTGAAATTGCAATTTGATCTCGGCCAACAAAATTTTAATGCAAGATAAACATGGGTGAGTATTCTTTGTAGGGATAAGAAATGCTGGTCAAAATGCATTATATGAGTGCTTAAGAGTTAAAATCAAAATCTTTTTTAGATTTATTGCTTATGTTGTATCTGAATCAGTCAAAATGTCAACATATTTCAACACAAAGTTGGTCAGATTAATGGCTAGCTAGTATTGTAACATATTCACATATGCGTTTTACGTATGTTGATTCCCCCCACCACACCACCCCACCCCACCCCACCCCAAAAGAAAAGTCCAATGATGTTTTAATGCATAATCCATTTTCTATCTTAGCCCATTTGTATTTGTTAGAATCCTCTTAACATATGGCGTTGTCTTTTTTACTTCACTTATTGTAATTCCTATGATTCATGAATTATAGCCTACCAGATGAATTCTTAACTATGAAACAGGGGAACTTCTATTGAAGCTGTGTTGTGTTGGACACACCTAGACATATCATACTCGCTAACATATGTTTAATTTGGACTGATTGTTAGCTGATTTATATTGAAGCTGTGTTGTAAATTGTTAGCTGATTGTTTAATTTGGACTGATCTCATAAACATTCCTTGGTCCTTTTTAATTAATTTCTTCAAGTGGATTTCTTCAAAAAAGAGTAATTGATGGTCGATCTGCTTTTAGCTCTTTTGGGTATATGATCTTGTATGTGAGTGAATATTTAGTGGTTTCTGTGTGTTATGATCCTGCTTTTGATTTCATAGCTGATGTGATTTCATAACTGATGCTTATATATATTTTCTCTAAGAGAAAATAATTGATGTCTATATGTTCAATTTAGTACCGAACTCAGTTATATACTACCATTGACATTCATAATGAAAGAAAGGGCACACATGTTCTTCCACCATGAGAATTCTCTATTAGACTGAGCAATTGACTACTCAAAACCTCAAAATTAAAAAAAAAACCAATATTTCCCCACCTTCAGAGCTTTCATATCAAATACCATAACAAGAAATCAATTCCCAAACACATATAAGATACAAAAGAAGTTATAACTGGAAAAAAGAACTAATTTAAGAAATAAATCACAACCAAAATAAAAATCTGAAAATTTAAAGAACTCAACTCAACTCAACTTACTTTCTAATGTCGATCCAGCTGCTGTTGGAATTTTTAAACCCTTGTCGCTTGAAACTGTAGGAAATCGAAAATTAGTGCAAATTTTAGAAGAAAATGAGAGGACTGAAGAAGTAAAAGGGGATAGTTAGAATTAGGGTTTTGTATAAAGGAGTGAAGATGAAGAAGAAATACCTTACTGAATCCACAATTGCAGAAATCTTTGGAGATGAATGCAGAAATTCTGAAGAAATAGTAATCTGTGCAGATTTCTGTAACGCCTCGGCTTCGACGGAGAAATTTATCCAACGAATAATCCATATCTTTGCAAATTCCTGTAACGCTTCGGCTTCGTCGGAGAAGGATAATCGACGATCTCTTCAGCTTCGGCGGAGAGGAAGGCGTAACGGAGGTGGAAATTGCACATGCTGGCGACGAATTTAATGTAACGATTTTAAGGGATTTAATGTAACGATTTTAAGGGAGAAATTAGGTATATTTAAGATGGTTGAAGGTTAATTTCGGGATGGGAAAGTTTTTCAGGAACTAGCTCTTTTAAAGATAGATAGATAATTCCGTGCTTTAAAATTTCCCGCAAGTTTGTATTCTAAATACCTAAAATTCCGTGCTTGAAAATTTCCATTTCTTTGTTTTAAGATTAGGGCCTGTTTGGTTCGTTTCCTTTATTTTTCAAAACCCATTTTTCTTCACTTTCATCATTTTCCACCCTTACAAATCTCCTACATCAACCAATAATATGGTGACAACTCATCTCATCTCATCTCATTTCTTACTTTTAAAAATAAACTAAACACAAGAAATATGTCACATCAATCAACTCATCCAACTCACCTCACCCTATTTTCCTTCACTTTCTACCATCTTTAAAAATTACTCACATCATCCAATAATATGGTGACAACTTATTCTATCTCCTTAAAATTTTCCTTACATCTCTTTCCTCAAAAAAACCAAAGAAATTGATTTTCCTAAGTATGAATCACATCATTCTATAATATAATGACAATTTATCTTCTCTCATCTATTTTCTTAGTTTCTTACTGTCCATGATTGAATTTTGAATTTTTAAGTGTTTCTTTTAAGTTGGCACTGTTAAGTAAATTTGTTGTGCACTTTTTTACTAATTTAAAATAGCAATATTTTAAAATAGGTCCCCTAAAAATAAATTTGAAATAAACCCCTCAAAGTATATCGCTTTTACAAAATAAGTCACCGGAGCTAATGTTAACTTTTCGTTTATATAGCATTTATTACCTGTACAACCACTAAATGTGGGGAGCTAAGAGGGGTTGGATGTTGATAGAGGGAAGGGGAGGGCTATTAACTCGGGTATGATTAATTTGTTGGATTTAAATCTAATTAAATTTATTTGTGGGCACATATGTTATATCAGTGTGTATTGTTATCCTTAATAATAACCCGCTTAAAGTGATGAATCAATTGAGGTTAATGGGTGTTTAAATAAATCATGGTCTAAATGTGCATATACCAGGTTGTAATTATAATTTGATGAGGGGCCAAATTATAAAAGTACAACACCTATAAATGTGGGGTTATGATCCCTAGTCTAGAGTTAACACACTCAATTCTCTTATCCCCATCTAAAAAGATACTAAAGGAGAAACCTTAAGATTAGAAGATCATCAAAACCCTAATTCAGATCCAAGCAATGGATTCAGGTATAGCTTCCGCTCTTATTGATGTGTAATCTCTATGATTTAATCACGATCAAGTCCAACAAGTGGCATCATAGCCACCGTGATTACTTCTTAGGGGTTTAAGATTTAAAATTAAGTTTTTGATCTTAATCTGTGGATTATTAAGAACTGTTCACGGATGAACAGTAAAAGTTCTTTTTTGTTTGATTTTTCTTTCGTTTTTTTGGATCTGTTGCACTCATGAACTGTAAAGTTTATCTTTTTTTTAGTTTGATTCTTTTTCGGATGTTTGGATCTAAAATGGATTCAGATTCAGATCAAGTGTGTGCAACATATCAATTTTTTGGATTGAGTTCAAAATCGAAAGAAAAAATGGTTTTTTGTTTTTGGTTTGTCGTCTTTCTCCAACTCCTCGCTGGAGTTTTATCGATGACAGCCCCACTGTCAAATGAAGACAGCGGCGATGACTGTTTTCAGAACGAAACCCTAAGGGGTGTTCGTTGCTGTAGCCCAAGCGGCGGCGGCGTTTCAGATTTAAACCCTAAGGGGTGAAAGAAATTAGGGCTTGAGGGCTCACCTGAGGTATTTGATCGAGGTTCGAACTTCAGACGAACTTCGGTTCGATTCTAGCGAACTTCGGCTTGCTTCTGACAAACCTAGTGTTCGATTCACTTTTGTTGAAGGCTTCTGACGAACTTCGGTTCTATTCCAGTGAACTTTGGTTTGCTTCTGTCGAACCTCGTGTTCTAAGTTTTAGTCGAACCTCGTGTTCAAAACTTCAGTCGAATCTCGTGTTTGAAACTTTAGTCGAACCTCGTGTTCCAAGTTTTAGTCGAACCTCATGTTCAAAACTTCAGTCGAATCTCGTGTTCGAAACTTCAATCGAACCTTGTGTTCAAAGCTTCAGTCGACATTCGGATCTCAAAGTTCAGCCAAACCTCGTGTTTGGTCTCAGGTGAACCTCGTGTTCAACTCAAGCGAGCTCCGGCTCGACTCAGGCAAAGCTTGATCCGTTGAAGGCAAGCTCAAAGAGCCCTATTTCAGGCGAGCCTCGTGATCATTCTCAGGCGAGCTTCGAGGTTAAGTCCTGATCTCGAAGGTGAGGTCGATCCTCG